TGGGGGGGGGGGGGGGGGGGGGGCATCATCAAAAAGGCAAACAAAAACCAGAGATGAGCCGGATAAGAGAGGGGGAAGCAAAAACCAAACCGGTTATTCCCTAAAGTCAAAGTTTGACCCTTACTTCAACGCTCTACACGAATACCACAACGAAACAGTTACGCACAAATCGAAGCAACTTGGCTCTTGTTTCGACGTGCCCGCCTGCTCCTCTACTCTCGATTCTGTCTTGACCCATCCCTCGCCCTGACTTGTAGGAGGCTTGCTTGCTCTGCTCCACGGCCCTTTTCTTGGATGCCCCTCCCCCGCCTTCCAACCAGCTAACGCCAGGCATACTAAACTTCGCTCTGTTATCCCTCCCTCCCTGCAATTGACAATCCGAACAACCAACGATGGTTCTCGCTGGCAGCTGCAACAGCAACAACGAAAAGTATGCGCCACCCGGAAGGAGGGGGTGCCCCGACCACGCCCGCTACTTCGCCACAAAATACAAAAAAAAAAAAAAGTGCAACACTTGAAGAGAGACCACCCCCAAGCTCTAAGGATTCTTATTTAGGTGGCCACACCAGCAGTGCACCAGACAGGCAAGAGCGGTGCCCTCCCGTGGTACAGAAAAAAAAAAAAAACACGCAAATAATTCGTCCCCGATCCAACTTACACCGCGCTCAACCATTCGGCAGTGGATCTTTGGTTGTCTCACGTCAAACCAACCAATCCCCCCTTCCTACCAAACCCGTCGGGCTGGCCACATTTCACCCTTCATTCGATCCGACACATTCCCGGATATCGCGAATATTATCCCTCCCGGGCGAGCGCTTGAACGACACTCCAAACCGTCAGAAGAAACGCGCCACAGACTATCCCGATGATGAGGTCGCCTTCGCCACCGGCATGGCGTGAATCTTCCTCTCCCAGCCGTGGCCTGATTTTCTCTATTTTCCAGGGTCCGCGCCATTCCATCGTCCGCCACCTTGCCTCTATCCGGTTCGAGGATTAGTCAGCCAGGCCGTCGCTAGAAAAGATCAGTCATCCGACTCCTCGTCAAAGCTGGCGCTGTCGTCTGTGCTGTCTACGCTGTCTGAGCTCTCGAGAATGAAGTTGTTGTCGCCGCTGTCAGAAGATCCGAAGCCGCTTCCGGGGACCCCGAAGCCGTTGCCGTAGTTGCCGAACACCTCGCAGAGGAACCTAGTAATGCCCCGCCGCACCAGAGACGGTAATGATTGCAAGAGGAAAATGGACAGACGAACCAATCTTTAGCGAAACATGTGAACGGAAGAACGGAAGAACCAATCTGGCACCAAAGACAATTATTGCAGTAGGGAAAAAGAAGACAGACGAACCAATCTTCAGGCGGAACGTGTGCACGGATGGATCCATCTAGAGAGAAAATCGGCGCGGAAGGGAAATCAAATCCCCGTTCAACATCAAGGATGATGTGATCTCTATTGTTGAAAGCAAGCGGACGAATATCGTCAGCATTGGAAGTCCCAAGCTCGCTTGTTTTGTTTTTTTTATTGCGGGAGTGTTGTGGACGACACTGCACTTGCACGAAACAATAATTACACAGCAACAGGCACTTACGAGACAACGCCGCCGCAGGAAAGAAAATCTGAGGGGAGACCTCTGAAACAATGTCGACAGGAAAGAAACGTCTTATGAGATTAATGTGCCCTCGTTTCAAGATCAATGAGAAAGATCTCTTTGTAACATCAATGAGAAATCCCTTATTCCTTAAGAGCGAAACGACTTGGAACAGGATGCAGAGATGATGACAGCCGCTCTCAACAAAAGTTTCGGGATGGTCACCATCGATCGATCAACTCTTCCTTCGCAGACACGGTGCGACCAAATCAGTACCGCCCTCGATAGCGGCACGTGCGAACAGCAGCACATCATAAATATATATGTGTCCTTTCATCCCCGGCGTATTTTTCATCGTAATCGAACACAGCACATGTCACATGTCAGACAACAACCGCAACAATCACACACCTCAATCGGTAGGACCCGAAGCCCTGGATGAACACGCCCGTGCACAGGGCGAGCCAGATAATGCTGGGCTTGCTCTTGAACTGTGCCGTCAGCGAGAGCACCCAGGCGAGAAGGACGTAGTGCTGCTTAAGCCCGTCTCCCTCTTCGAACGCAAAGGCTCCGTACAGGAGGGCGTAGGACACGATGAGGCCGCGGCTGACATTGTATATTCGGTGCTGCGGGGAGAAAACGGGGGGAGGGGGGCTTGCACACGTGAGAAACTCTACAACAACGCATCTCTTCAGCAGAGAGAGAGACAGACATGATAGACAGAGACAGACAGACAGACACGATAGATAGGGAGACACAGAGACACACACAAACACACAGAGAGAGAGAGAGAGGGAGAGAGAGAGAGAGAGAGAGGGAGGGAGAGAGACAGAGACAGAGAGAGACAGACAGACAGACAGACAGAGGCAGAGACAGAGACAGAGACAGACAAGACATGGGGGGAAAAGGGGGGTCTTGACAATGATACTGATCTTGGCGCACTCACGAGGTTCTCCTCGATGACGATGTCGAGGTTGATGTTACCGGAGACGTAGTATGCGCCCGGCAATGTCCTCCACGCCTCGGCAAAGTGGTACGCCACGATCACCAGCACGAACGTGATGAGCACTACGGCCATCACGATGTGTGAGTCTCTCCAGTCGCTGTTGTCGTTGAACCGCATGTCTTGGAACCAGTCCGTCGTTTCGATGGCGGACACAATCAGGCCGCTGGACATACGCGAAAAACCGATGCGACAAATGCGAATCATGTTCGGGTTGCGGGGGCAGCGGGGACGGGGGAGGGGGGGGGGGTTAGGGGCGAAGAACAACGAGGAGGGGGGCTGAGTTTTTCCGGGCAGGGATAAGAGCAGTTTAGTCCGCCTCCCGTGGAAACCCAAACATGGCTTGATACAGAGTCCAAGAGGTGAATGCCGACTGCTTGGGCGTTATCGTTAGCGAGACATTCTTCTTGTTTTTGGTACTCCATTTTTTGTCGTACCAGCTACCTACCGCGCCCCAGCTTGCTATTTATAATATAAACCAACGGCAATGCCAACCTCCTAGACCAATCAGCTGTGATTGGTGCGGCAGCATGGGTAAGGGCTGCTGTGTCCATGACAGACGGCACGCGAATGTAGACCAACTGCAGCCGCGGGCACTTTTATATTATAGGGCGTGTCATGCCAGGCGGGCCGGCCGGGATAGCATACAATAGTCCCTCTTGGCACAGAGAACAACCAGTGACAACTTGTTGGGAACTTGAATAGGGCGGATGAATCGACCTCCATATACCCGCCCCAAGAGAGTGCTCACAACCGTACTGCTCAAGAATACATAAGAGTAGAGTGTGACTAACGAAGACGATAAACTGCTGTACACTACAACGAAATCTACCGCAAATCGGTCACGTGTCACTCATATATTGTAGACTCTATTTCACCGAGCCGATACACAGTTCAAATGCTACGTAGGGCACATGGAAATACGTCACAGACACAAACGAAAGCGGACTCGGAGCCGGTGTAGTCTACACTTCCCAAATCCTGCGGCACATGTGTCACGTGCCACACTAGAATCTACATGACGAATGTACTTGTAGTACGAAAGTAGACTCACATGACGATGATGACGATGCCGAAGTACGCCTCCCGGGTGAGGTGGCGGAATCTCCTCTCCTCCAACACCTCGCAGAACCATGCCTGCACAAACACCCAAGCATCCGGAGCGGCAAACGAGGTTAGGTAGAGCAATCAACGGATGCAGACAGATAAAGGAGGTGATGAAACGGGTACGTATGATATACTATTGCAAGCAGCGCAGCAGTGGTGTGCGGCGGCGTTGTCGGCAGCGGCGATGCCCTTGGGATAATACAGTGGTGTATCAGAGAGCTTACTTGGGGTTTGAGAGGGCGTCAGGAACACACAGCCAGCCCTGAACGACACTTGGGGCACTCAAGACCGGCGGATGCCCAAACGTACAAATGTATGTAGATTGTACGATAGTCTAATAGGAAGAAATGAAGAAATAGCAATGACAAGCGTTTGCCCGCGACCTCCAACCCTGACCCCTTCCCCCTGAGGGAGGCGATCGCGGAACTGCTGTACATACATACAGGTACACCAACTACAGGTACAGCAGTACATGCGCGGCCTTTGTTCACAGGGAAACTGAGAATAAAGCGACACAACACGCACCGTTCCGCGGCGCGCGGATTCCTGTGATTCCTTTGGGGAGATTAGAGATCACATGTCGACATTTCTACATGCCCAGAGAGAAGGTCAGGAGAAAAGGTCAGGAATGACCTCTCTTTTCCTTGGAACATCATGTTTAGATTGTAACGCCGTGTTTGCTTATATCGGCGGGCTGCAGCTGAGCAGTAATACCGGCGGGATCATGACATCGGCACGACACACGAACGCAGCATGAGAGACCCGACAAGATAAAATTGGCCGGGACAACAATGATACCTGATGTTCGGTCCTACTATAGCGTGTCTACATTGCACGTACTAGCGATCATGCTGAGCGCAAAAACGACGCGAAGCGTCGGTGAGCTGCGTGCGTTCAACAACATGACAGCTTTCGTCATGATTCGACGGATTGGGCGGCGGGCGTTCGGTCATCATGCTCCCACGCAAGTGAAGCCTTTCTTCATTCAAAGAGGAACGCGAGGGCTTGCATGATTTTATGATTTTAGAAGGTTGTCTTGTGGTGATAATAACTTTCGCGAATGTTCCTGCACACAAGCCCGATCGTGATCGATTCGCCCACGGCTAGCGTATTGGTAAACAAGCTGCAGATACATCTAAAATTGTGGGCACTGTCAGTGCTGGCAGACGAATAAAGGAAGAATCGTAAACCCAACAACACCACAGCCATGCGACTCTAAGCACAACCCAGCTCAACCCGCGCACACGCATGGCGTTTACAGCAGTGAGAATGTTCTGTGCACAACAAAATGTTCTGATAACATCAAAGAAGAAAGCCGTGCGTGCGCCTGTGAAGCGGTGTGTGGTTATCTGGCTTAATGTATGGGCGCAAACGGTCAATTTTCTTGCAGGCCCAAAAACTGCAACGACGAGCTGTGTGCTACGGGAATTGGCAATCAATCCACCGTCGTCTCGGTATCAAACGCCGCAATTCCTCGCAGACGCGAGCACAGCTGGCGTGTGCAGCGCACTCGGGCCTCCAACGCACGCTCCATCTAGACATGGCGAGCATACCCGCCGAAAAGCAAGAGGGCGCGCACCCGATCTCTATTTTTTGGGGGTCAAAACAAACACGTTCGCATCCATACACCCGCCCCCAAAACACGCGGCAAAACATGCTATTCCCGAACTTGAAGCCCGGGGTCAACGCTGAGGAGCGCACTGGTAGGGAAGCGAGTGCAGGCCTTACACGCCTGTGCCTTGGATAAGGACGGCATTGCCTTGTACGTGGTTGAGGGTTGCTCCGCCATGGTTGCTGCAGACATGCCGAACATTGAGGGCCCTCGTGTGTTCATCGTGGGAAAAAAATGCGATGTGCTCACAAAAATAGTTTTCTGCGCACACGCGCCGGGAAGCTGTCGGTACGAAAGAACTGTCTCTGCTCGTCACCCCCACCCCCTTCATCTCACCTGTGTTAATCCGAAAACTAAGAGCGCCAACAAGTCCGTGAGGACCTCAAGGGCGTCTGACGGCAGGTCGCAGTGAGGAGGCAGGTTGAAGTGGCACATGAGTCTCTGGAACAGCCAGCATAAGAGCAGCAATCCGATCCACGCAGCAGCTCGCTTGGCCTGCTCGATGTAGGCGTCTCCCGACCTCGCCGGCGACACCGTCACCTTCACCGGCTTCTCGGCATCGTCCGCGTCCTGCTTCAACACCGGCGGGTTGAAAACCATCTTCTCTCCGCGGGGATGCTTAACTCGAAACCTCCCTCGCTTGCTTGCGAACGCTGCGGCTGTGGTGTGGGTGATGAGCAAGGCGGGAGGAGAAACAGAGAGGGTATAATGGGGACCCTGAAACAGCACTCGTGTTGGTTGTGTAATCTACGACGGAGATCTGGGGTTCTCAGCAGGTGCTTCGGTCTTCCAATCAATGTTCTTCCTACTTTATTCGTTGTTGTTGTGGGTTTTCCGTAGTGCCGAGTACCGGGTACCGGGTACCGGGTACCGGGTACCGGGTTCCCACTGATGTATTTTTATGGGCCTTACCGTGCTGGCCGTTGACTGATGCCCGCCGTCAACGGTGTCCCTTGCGGTGTATGGGTGCAAACTCATCTTCCGCATACACGCGACGAGCACCATGAGAGAGAGTCGTTTGGTTGCCCGTTTCATCTCCGAACTTGCGTCCTCCTGAGCGACAGAGTACAAATCTTTCGCACCAGCTTTCGTTGGCTCTCCAAACCTTGTAGATTACCACTACATACATTTTCTCGCTCAGGGTATCAACCTTCCTGATAACACGTAACTGTGTACGTCTTCCTTAGCCTTTTGGGGTCCAATAAAAGCTCGACGCAGTGTCAGCACACCCATTGTTCAGTCTTGAGCGTTCACCTTCCTTATCCTTACCCCCTTCACACACCCGTGTGCCCTTTTTCTGGCCCTTGCGGACAGTACAACGCGCGAGTTTGTGTCCATACAAGGTATTTTTTTGCTCTCTTGATCTTCGACAGCATGAGGCACATTGCACATATCGCGTCACCCGTTCTTGGCGATTGTACATACGTGCTGTTGCGTATTGTACCACCAATAGTACCAATTTAACAAAAAGAGTGAAACGGACTGCGTGCGCTAACAACCACCATCGCATGATGATGAATAGATCCTCAACAATGCTCTCAGTACTCTGGTCAACACTCTGGCGTCTGGTTGCATGCAAGGAAAACCTTTCCATAACCGTGGAAGGGGTATCAAAACCTATTTTTCGCATCTATCTACAGCAGCACAATAGTGCCAATCTTCATGTAAATATCCGCTTGATGGTGACTCCCAAAACTCAACGTTGCATCGGATCCAGCCCGACACCCCGATCATAGATGATGACTTCGTGCGCACTGTTCTCAATCGTCTCATATTCACGAAGGTGCCATTCCTTTTAGTCGGCCCCACGTCCCTTCCTCTTGGGCTTCTTCTTCTTCTTCTCTTGCTGCAGGAGAACCTGTTGGTGGGCGTTCAACGGCAGGTTCAAAAATGCCGATTTGTTTCGGCGTTCCAAAACATACGTTGGGGTGTGTTCTGGGTTGTTATCCGTCTGAAATGTGCGCTCCATCAACCAGAACGATGATCAATTGGTCAATGTTTTGTTGAAGGTCGATGAAAACACAACCAATACTTTGCAAGAAGCGTGTTTATCGATCCAGCGACCGAAGACTACCTCTTCTCGCTGTCCTTTTCGCGCAGGCGGAGGTCCTACAATACGTCATCGATCCTACAGGGCAGAAAGAAGCGTTTGACACAGACATGCGTGGTTGTCCACCTACACGTACACCCCACAATTCATTGGCATCGGTTATCCTCAAAGCATGTGTAGCAACGCCTCAAGGTGAGGAAAAAGCGTCGGCCCTGCTGTACCCACTCACGTGAGAAGCCGCCTTCTTGACCTTATCCCTCGTCAGCTCGTCTTCGTCCAAATCGTGAATCCCGTCGTCGTCGACTGACCCTCCACTTCTCGCCCTTCCCGTGTCCCCGTCGACATCGTCCACGCTCGGCAGCTCGATCCTCTGGTTGTACGGCCGCATCTGCACGGCCCCCTCGTCTGTGCCAGCCATTGCTCCGTCGCCCCCACCCCCCCACGAAACGAGGTCTGTCTGAGACCCTCCGGCTCTTCCTCCTCCTCCCCCACCCACGGCAGTTTGTAGGGTCTGGATGGCACCCGTGTCGCCCACGCTTTGCTCGTACTCGTTGAGCTATCGGGGTTTTTTTGGGGGCAAGGGATTCGTCGGGAG